GGTAATCTCTTACCGATTTATCAGGTAAATGATTTGTAAGTGAAATATAATAATTTAAATTACTGTATTATAGAAGAAGAAAAGGAGATGAAAAGCATTAATAGATATTAAGATAATGAGAGTAATATTTATATATAAGACGGTTAATATCTTTTAATTTTTTTGTCAACTTAAATTTTTATCAAAACATGAGTAAAGAAAAGCATTTGCCAAAACCAGAAAGCAGTAAAATGAGTGCTAAAAAGTCTAAAAAGAAGTCACGTAAACATAAGAAAAGAAAATGTAAGGTTATAAAAGGTGGTAACTTTAATATATTATTAATACAACAATAATCTATTATTAAGTAGATGCGAGTTACATTGCGTAAGCAATTGCTTAAGCAGTCACAGCAGTATTTAGTAAGGGGAAAGGAAGAGCAAAATCACCATCATCCTCAAGCTCTAGTAGCTCAGAAGCTACTAGTAGTAAAGATGAAAGTGAGGTGGAAGATAAATCGATTAAAAAAAGAAGAGATAGATCAGTTAGTAAGAGAAAAGGTAGATTAGATATTAAAGATAGTGGTAGGTCAGTTAGTAGAAGCACAAGTAGGAGCACAAGTAGAAGCACAAGTAGAAGCACTAGCAGGTCTAATAGCAGTAGCAGCAGTTCAAGTGAAGATGTACTAAAAGTATTGACAGATGAGCAGAGGTCTCACTTACGAGTAAATATTATTTGTTTCACGTTTGTGTGTTTGTCTGTTTTTTTAATTAATTTACTATTATTATTATTATTATAATTAATTTATTTTTATTATTGTTATTATAATTTTTTTTTTTGGTATTAAGATGAGGTCATGCCTCTTGTATCTTTATTATTAATTTTTAAATTTGTACACAACCTTGTTGCTCACTCATACACCTATTAACCGAACTAATTTTTCGAATACAGGGCTCAGACTACTTTATCTGTAACCTAAACCTACCAGAGTATTCCGTATCCCACTTCTGTATTACCTGGTTTTTGTGCTTCACAACTAACTAATTCTAGTTATACAACCATATTCTCCTATGTCCCACAATCAAACCTCAGTGACTTCCAATTTGGTTCATTCGGGTAATTGGTTCCTAAAGGCTTCCCAGATTAGTATGCCTGCTGAGAGCCTCTCATGCACGTATCTCAAGCCAGGTCTCTGCTGCCTAGTTAGGTTCACCACATGACAAAGTTGGTACTACCTGACAAATTAGAACTTATCTTGAGTTTGCGCCGACTGAGTTACACCGGTTTGCATTCCTTCATTTCTATTAATGCCTAATCTTTCCACTCATTTGCCCAGGTACTACTAATCTGTATCTTAAGCTAGGGACCTGATGCCGCTGCTGGTTTGCCATCTACAGGTCTTTTATCGTCCTTTTTTTGGTCTTTCATATGCTTGCATACTTTTTTATCCCCTTTGTACTCCCTTTTATGGTATTCGTTAGGAACTTGTTTCGTATATGATAACCGATATACTTCCAGCCATTGGCCTTCATTGTATATATTGTACAACTTACAACTTGGGATATCTCAACCCTGGTTGGTACAGCATTCATACTGGTAAATCCTTAACTCTTTTTGTTATAGACTTCCATATAGATGTGACCAGAGCTCTGATTTGGTACATTTAATTATACAGGGATAGGTACACCCTCTACGTCGAGTAACTTTCTATAGTAGGTTGTTCCACAGAGCCAGAGGTGTTTCCAATTCCAGTTAAGGTATGATCCTTTATCACAGCCCATAGTTATGTATCACCGCTTCACTCACTATTCCAGTTTTGGCTATCTTTGTATCACACTCCCAAGCAAGTACTCCACAAGTTAGATGCAGGAATGTTGGTACTGCCTCCAGGTCACTCCAACCGGAGGACTAATTCGCACGATCTTCCATATAACCTAACCTTCTGTGACGCTGCTATCACATGTAATGCCTGTACTCCATAACCTGGTCTCTTTTTGGGAACTCCTTGTTCTGGTTTCGTACTGCACTTGGACTTCTACAGAGCTTCGCATTCAATTTTATGGCTCTCGTAGTTTACAGAAGCAAATTTTATTAAAATTTGCCTCCAGCCCGACTCGAACTGTTGACCTAATCTGTGGGGGGTTGGGAGCTTAACCGCTAAGTTATGGGACCCAAACCCATTGTTATTATAATTAATTTACTTTTATTATTAATATTATTATAATTATTATTACCAAGAACGAAATTAAAGTATTA